TGGAGACACAAAGAAGTTCAACACCTCAGGAGATGCACTCCTCCACCACCGAGAAAGGGCAATAATACTACCCCTTGATTGTCCCGATTCTCTCTCCTGCCCACTCACAGGATGCCCTGGAGACCGGCGCTGTACCGTACATCAACTGGACTACGTTCAGACTACATATTTCCCACCGCTTTAAGCGCTTCATCGTTCTCTCTCCACCCAAAGGGCCAGGGCAATCATTCATAGGAGAGATTGCTGAGCTTCTGTCAACAAACTTGTATTGTGTCGAACAACCCTCCCTGATATAAAGTATCTTGAACCGAAATTTCTCATCAGATAATAGCTACAGTGAGCCTTTGCAAAGAGCAGATGTAAAGGGGAGCTTGCTGTACTGCACCTTGCCCACCGCTAAATTCAAAGTATTTTCTTAAAAAAATATATATATATATACGCTTTCAAAGCATCCAGTACCGACCAGACCCGCTAAGTCTTGACAGATATACCCCCCAAAAGTTCCACTAGGCACAAGACTCCCCGTCTAGTACCACCCGCACTATCCCACCCACCCCTCATATAAGATATAATAAGTCATCAAACAAACACTACAATTTAATTATCCTGACATATATCACTGTACCTTCTCTTCAAGCACCACTCCCACCACTCCCACCTCAAAAGCCTAAAATCGACCCCCCCCCCCTTTGAAACCTTATGGTGCAGAGAGTTCCCATCAACACCAGCTGCCACCTTCCGTCGGAACCCAAAACCCTTCTGGGCGGCGCACCTCCGGCTCCGGCTAGGCTCCGCTGGCCAGATACCCCCTCCCCCAACCTCTCCTGAAACCATCCATGGAAAACAAGGCGACCAATCAAATACTACCGGGACCGTGCTTTATCGTCCCACCGCGAATACGAAAACGAGGGTGCTACTGGTGCCCACTACGAATACGTAAAAAGAAGACACTACTAGTGCTGACCCCCGTGTCTTGCGGTATTTCCGAGAGGTGTCATGAAAGGGATAAAAGGGAAGAAGAGGGAAGAAAAGGAAAGAAAGCGAGTTCCTCTAGTACCCTGGATACTTATTTACTTTATCGGTGTTACGCGGTAGTATATGTTTGTATACTTTGTTTGGTTGAAGTGTGCGAATGACCGTATCTATC